TGTTATTATCCAATTTATTTTTTGTGCCAATCTTTTTAAATCGATGAATACAGCTGAAAGAGTATTTCATGTATCAAGGGAATCATTGATATGTTGGGAGAGCGGGAATACNTTTAGGAGCCATTCCAAACTAGACGATTTATCATAGTGACCATTGAGCACATGTCATGGCTTACTATTGTTGCAACCCGCAATAAATATTGCCTTGTGAAATGGCTGTCATTTTAATAAAGTACTTTTCATTCATTTTTCATTAGACTAAACATTGACTAGTTTCAGAAATCTCATGGTCATTTTATCACAACAAACTGAACACTTTATCAACCCAAAATTCCTCGACTTTGCCGTGATAGATCAATTACGTTTTGGGAGCTATTTCATTCCAGAGAATGTCGCCTGAAAACTTTATTAAGGCTTAGACGTGACTTGCGTTAGTGACCCCCGAAAGAGAACTAAGATATTTGACAATTGGAAAATAATAATAATAGGATATCGTAGGTGAGAATTCAGTCAGAAACTACAACTTTATCGCCCCCCACCTCCACACCATCCCACCACAATTAGGGTATAGTAAACAATATTATTATATCAAATAGCAGGCGTTTTGATTTTTATCAATAGCCCTTTAGTTGACTTCAGTCTTCACAGAGGGAGAGGAACATCAAAGTGTAAAAAATTCATGAGGGAGAGGGGGGGGGGAACAGAAGAGTGTATCAAAGAGGAAGGTAGATAATGTAAAAAAAGGTGGGATGAGTACTGTGAAAGTAGTCGAATATGACAGAGAGTGGTGTCATGGTAGTTTGAAGTCAACCGCCAGGTAATAGACTTTTTTGCTGTATGAGTAAACGTTGCCCAGGGTGCACCACGTGGAGGTAAGTCTATCGCACACCCGGGTATCCTGAACATATTGCTACTCCAACACGAGTCTGTTCACCATAACCACGAAGTGTCTGTATGGAGCTCGAATCACATTTTAATACTCACCGGAAACCTAATAGTTACGTCTTCAATTGTGGTTAGCTGTGTGTGTGCGTGTGTGTGCTTGTCCTTGTGATGAAGTTTGCTTTTCAGAATTCCGTCATGTTGCCTCAATGTTTAATTTAACTATTTCGTTCTTTGTTACATACCCCAAATGTGGGCTCAAGTAGGTACCTCTTTACCAAGACATCTGCTCTATCGTGTTGTGTAGCTAAAGTTAAACATTGTTTTGTTAAATCGGTTGAATTTACTACCACCACATTATTTACTAACAAAACAGTTTTCCCACTTCGTTTGATTTACTTCTTCACCTGTTGATGCACCAAATCAGGATTACCTTGTGGTCAACAGATTATCACCCCCTTCAACTGCACTAATCTAGGACATCCATTCGGGCCATTCCATCAAACAATCTAAACAAAACAGACCTCCTGTGTGCATCTGCCACTTCCAGTGTGTAAACCAACATGGTGATTTTAAGTCCTGTTTGTTCCCTGGAGTTGTAAATGGTTCCACTTCTACATGCCTATACTTGCAACAATTATTTCTCAACCAAACTTTACAAAGTCTCACCTTTCATAGGACGAATTTCATGTTTAATCATTTCAACAAAAAGAATCATCTTTTAGATACAAGTCGTATGTAAGGCATGTCTCTCTTCAACTGAGTTGGTAGTAAAAGTGGGAATACTTTAGTTTTGAAGCCATCGTTGCTACTTGGTTTCGAAGTATCGCTTTATACGCAATTGAGTAGATTTGTGATGGAAGTGGATTTCCTAGAGCAATGCGTTTTGCTTATTTACCGCTTCTAGATCTTTTTCTGTTCAAATTTGAAAGTACTTTATTGTTATTATTATTATTATTATTTCAAATGGCGGGCTTTATGATATTTATCATTTTCCCTTAAGCTTGAACTTAAGCTTACCCCAAGGTTGGGGGTACATATATAGCAGTTCATTAGCTGTCTTCGTGCTTCCCAGTATCTCTGGCTTTCCGTCGTTGTCTTTAGGGCTGGACACCGAATCAGGTGGGGTGCGCTATAGACTTAACTCCTCGTGGTGCACCCTGGACAACGTATCTTCCTACGGCATTTTTACTTCTATTTATTTTGACTTCTATTTAATTTGGAAGTACATATCTATCCAAGTTGTCCATGTGATGTTGTGCGTATTGGTGTCACTCCCATATTTCAGGTTACTGGGTCAGTGATTTGTACAAGATTTCTTCGATTTACAAGAGGCAAAAATTCATTCAAACTGATTGAGGGAAGCAAGTAAAATTGACGAT